ACGTAAAAATGGGCACAAAAATAAAAGTCTGAGATATAAGACGTGCAAAAAGAAGGGGAAAGGAGACGAACGACGTTTCGGGCGCACAGCCTTGGTCATACTGACTGACGAAGGGTAAGCCAATGCCACGAAGTGGAATGTGTCGAGAGAAGTTGTCTCGTCTCATTGGCGCTGATCTGGACTTCCAAATAAACAAAGCACACTTTCTGTAAATTTTCTGGGCATTCATGCGTACACATTATAGAACTTACAGCACGCACGTAATCTTAGCAATCAGAGAAATGTTTCAAGCCGTTGCTCTGGCAGAAATTGACATATCACGAAAAAAACGCCGTAAAGCATGTTTTTTTTTTTTTTCTATCTCTAGAAACAGCAGATTAGTAAGACGTGCTGTTGCGAAATTCGTGGAATGGTACACCGAACTATTTACAATGTTGCTCACTCCACCCTACGCTTCATATTCTAAAAGCTTCGTTGCCCATGCACCGTGCCAATTCCGATTGCATTTTACCCAATTCACTGCAGCTCGTTTTTTTTTTTTTTTGTTTTTTTTTTTTTTTTTTTTTTTTTTGCAAACGTTTTTGGTTAAAAAACAACCGCCTCAGATACGCTTGTTTGCCGTGACAAAATAAAGCAATGTTATCAGCGTACGCTAGGACTTTAATTTCTACAGAGTTTAAACTATAACCTTCGACGTTCCCACTTTTAGCGATGCTCAAACAAAAGGGTTTCAGATAGAGGGCAAGCAGTAAAGGTGACAGTGGGCACCTTTGTCGGACAAAATACAACACAGGGGTACTTGTAGTGAGATTATAGTTTACAATAAGCTTCGTTGAGCATCCTTTATAAGCCATACTGACTTCATCAAAAATAGCTTTTTCTCATTCCAACATGTGTCAAAACTTGCCAAAGAGCCTCGTAATTAACTCTATCAAAAGCTTGTTCGAGATCTATCTGGAGTAAGGCAACTGGTTCCATTTCATTTGAGAAACGTGCCAAAACACTTCTTGCAATAAGAATGTTTGACTGCATTGTTCTTCCTTTTATTCCACACGTTTGGTGTTCCCCGAAAATTTGACAAATTACATGCTGAAGCCTTCTCCTGAGGACTGTGAAATTCAGGGCAAAGACCCAGGCCGTTGCGTATACAGAGCTGGGGTATCCAGGAGCGGTGCTGGCTGTTGTTCCCTCCTGCTCGTCAGCTTCCATGGTAATTTTATGCAGTCTTGACTCATGCAGTCTTTTACATCATGTCCGAAGCAATGACAGAACAACGCGGCACACGGCAGTCTCGTCGTATGTGCCCAGTGCGCTTACACCGCAAACTAAAGGTTCGCATCTAGGGACTACAGTCGAACAGTTCGCTGGTGCGGTAGGCTGTCGATTGTTGTTTCCTCCTGCAGAGGGATACGCACAAACCTTTCGCAGACCTGATGCCCTGGAAACTTGCGACCATCTAAGTGCCCCCTGTTACTTCTGTAACTTTATCGAAAGGCTCCAACGCCTTTCGTACTGCGTCGTTCGACACATGAAATGGTATGCAATGAATCTTGACTGTATCTTCAGCGTTGCTCGGATAAATGACTGACGTCGCCTGTCCTTGTTTATAAGCTCCTTGGCAGCAACTAACATGTGCGTGGCCGCTGACAGTTGTAGGGTGACGATCCAGACGTGATTCATCTCGTATTTCCCTATTGAAGACAGTTCTCTGAAGACGTTCAGGCGTTCCAGCTCACGTTTGAAGTCTTCACTACTGCACGGGCAGTTCTTGAAGTCACATTGCAGAAGTACACTGTTGAGTACAAGTGCACCACGAGGTAGTGGTGGCAGTGCAACTCATCAGCAGATGCAGAATCCAAAAAAATTCCGCGGCCCCCAGATTTCACCAAACATCTTGCGCGTTTGGCACGTACGATCGATCTCCACGGCCACCGATTCCCCATTCGAAATATTCAAAAGACAATAGCGGTTAACTTTCCTGGCTCAAAATTCCATAAGGAGTGAGTGATGAACGCGCCAGGAATGTTGCATTGTAAAAGCAAAATCATATCCTGAAGAATCTAACAAACTAACAGAGAGAGGTGAATCCGTGACTGATCCTTGATTAAATTTGCATTGGGATTTTGCGGACGTATATTTAAGGCTAAACGGATTCACCACGTGAACCCTTAGGTAATGATGAATAAAAATCAAGATGATCTGAATCGTGGTTCAAAACACGATTTAAATCAGACCAGTTTTACTATGATAATTTAGATCAAACCTTCCCGCAACACTAATCTCGAGAATACTTTCGTTATTTATCGTTTGTCTATCATTTGACGCTCTGTGCGAATTAATTTTGTACTAAAATGCAATCATGAACAACCAAGTGAGATGGGTATCAGGCTGAACACGAGCAAAAAGCAGTGCTTTTCCGAACAAATCCGAGCTTTCTTCCTAGCTTCTACTTCATCCGTCAGTTATGTAACATCCTAGTGCAAGCAAATCAGAATGCAAGAACAAAAAAAAAGATCAAATAACGCTTTGTAGCTAACGAAAAATAAATCAAACTATGTTTGTGCCAGTATAGCAGTATAGTATAGACAATAACAAGTCGTGAATTATGCTAATGATAACAGTAATTATTTCCTCTGTGTTGTTATCAGTAATTGGGAGAATAGATCAATGAATCTGTCATACCTAAAAATACATGTAGTAATAAAAAAAAGCCCTATTTTCTAGCTACATGGATTTCAAAGAAAACAGTCAGATATAGATAAAATAAACCTGATTTACATCATTTAAGAAATATATATAATTTTGTTTTGTGTCAATTGCACATGTGTCTCTATTTGTAGTTGCTGCGCAAGCACAAACGCATCGCAAGAATTTTCGACCACTCAGTGCGAAGCGCCGGCTATGGCGTATCAACCTAATGATAATAATCTCGCCATCAAGGGGCTCTGGAATCGATTTCTTTGCTAACAAATTGATGGGACCCGAGCCCGAAATGAACGCTTATCTAGCAGCTCTTGTGTACTGTCCGTGTGTCACATTGTACTAACTTCTCGAATGTATGGACCTCGCATCACCCGCTGGTTGCGCACCTTTCCTTCATCAGTAACCGAATGGCGGCCATTACTACGGCACAGGTGCCATACCTCAGCTGGTGATAGTGATCGAGGTGGCTAGACTGAATTTCCGAAAGGGTCTATTGCTCCTCGAACGGACGCGTTAGTCATTCCCACTCCTTTTAAGCGTAGCTTGGCAAAACGCGAACGCTTCGGCGACTTTGAGCCGGTCAGAATCTGGATGAAAATCACGTGACAGTTTTCTGCAGGAGAAGCTCACTTCGACAATACGCTGTCACGTGCACCGCTCCGGCGTTCTGATTGGCTGGCTGAGATCTTAGTTTTCGTTGTCTACCAACTTAAAGGAGCTGTGCAACAGTTTCAGTGCTTTGCTTAAATAATTTGGGAGTTAGTGTCTCAACCTTTTTTTAAGTAAAGAACAAAAAAAAACGCTTTTGCCTGCATCTCCTAGTTTTTATTTTAAAAATGAACAAAGATTGAGGTTTTCGGCACCTTTCAGCTCCTTCACCATCTTTCGAGTCACATGCGCTGTGACGGTAATGGGGTTTGCGCGGGGTTCCAGTGAAACTCCCTCTTTAGAGCCATCAGTGAGCAGCGAGAACTCATCCACTCGTGACCGCGTCACCACGTGCTGGCGGGCGCAGCGCGAACCATATGGTAAAACAAGGAATGTCTCAGAGCCGGACGGGTATGGCCGGATCCGGGCATACCCATCCGGCTCTGCCCCCTCTCCCTCCTGCTTCTGGCGGCTGTTCGCGGTAGCAGATAGAGCTGACGGTTTTCTAGACCTAGGATAGATGGCGCCACTAAAACTCCGTATAATAAACGTTCTGGCGGTGATACCAGGTTTTCGACCCATTTATATTTATGTTGGAACGACAAGATTTATAGAAAAATACCTTTTATCGACCAGGTATTCGCACAATTTGCTATCTTTCTACAAGACCCCCATTGACGTCACGCCGCGTGTTTCTCATGGCCGCCGCTCGCGGCTGCAGGTCGGGGAATATTCTAATTTTTGCCTCGCGATTACGCGGCGGAATCGCAACATTTCGAAAAGAGCTGTGTTTTCTGTCCTTTGTGACAAGGTGAACAATGTCAAAAGTAGAAGATGCCAATTCTTTCAACGTTAAAATAGTTGCACAGCTCCTTTAAGGTGAAACGAAGAGTAGGCACACGTTCCAAGTTTTACCACGTCCTATTCGTAGGGCACTTCAATAGGGGTCTTTCTATTTTTCCCGAGTAGATACGAGATCAATACAAAGAAAGCAATGCACAAACATGGGGACAGAAAAAGACGAGTACAAGCTTGTACATGTCGGTTTCTGCTCCTTGTCTGTGTTTCGCTTTCTTTGTATTGATTATTAACCCAACACGCTCGTCAAACTCATAGACACGAGACCACTCGTTGTTGTCCAGGCTTCCTGACTTGCAGTTTGCGCGTTCCGCCTGCGTCTAGGTCATTTGAACGCTACAAAGTCATCAAGAAAGAAGACTTATAGCTTTCCCAGGGGCTAGTCAGCCTTTTAGTGAATCTGAAGAATTTCTCTGTGCCGTTAACAGTGGTTGATTGTGATGTCTTCACTGTTTGTTTATAATCCCCACTCCTGCCATAACCCCCAATGGGGCTAAAGTATGTAAAAATAAATAAATAGATAAAGTCTTATCAGTACCCCCTAGACAACAAGGCTTGGGCAAGACTTCATCGTTAGTGGATCCACCGACCCGCGCCAAGCGGCAAACACGCTCAAGCTCGAAGAGAGTCAAGTTAATCTTCAGACGATTCCCTGAGGACCACATCGCGAGGTGTTACTAAAAGGCTGTGGCCTTGACACTTTCTTGTCTGATATTCGTCCCTAAATCAGAAAGGGGCTCAATTTCGGCACCTCATCCAAACGGAAAGAGTTTTTTTTTTTTTTATTTCCATTATTCGTGCCAACATTTCGCCTACGCTTTAATGTCTGTAATAGTTAGACGACATGAAAGATCAGTATATTTTCTCCTTCCGCATAATTCAGGTATGGAAGAATATAAAATATCCCTCTCTCGCTCCAAGTACAGCGTGTCACAGACTCGATGATCCCGAATCATACACTAACAGACCCGACAACTTTGCGCTCTTCGAGGGACGATGTTTAAAAAAAATGTCACATCTATTAAAAGCTAGGTTCAGTCTGAGCAGCAAAAGCAACACAGGGTCATGCAAAGCGCGCAGATGCAGCAGTCCTTGGCACAGTCGTCGTCTTTCTTCTCCTGGACAATCCTGCAAAGTTCAAAAAAAAATAAAACAGAGCACGCAATGTTGTTAGGCTTACGGCCGGTCAACTTCCGCGTCATAACCCCACCCTGATCATTCCATCAATGTCGAACCCGTGCAAGTATCAATCAGCTGCCTCTTTGTCAGCATCCACGTATATCGATCTCGAAAAAAACAATACTTCTTTTATGCTCAAACTAAACTCACTTAAAACACAGACAGTGTGGTACCCACTTAAAAAGTTAAAGCATGCAGAAGAAAAGTTTGGAAACTTTCCTAACTGCAATACTCTTTAATGCTATGTTTTAAGAGCGTATGCGTGTGCGCTTGAGTACCGGGGTGTGAGGAGGGAGACAGTAAAATGGTCGAGTATAAAGACGCATTTATCACGGTGGGAGGCCTTTTTCAGAATTGTTTGTTTTGCATTTGTCTAACTTTATATTATTGGTACGAGATTCGTAATATTGAACCTGGTGATAAGCAGCGCACAGGAGGCAAACACACAGTAGAAGAAAACAGACTTGACAAGCGCTAGCTCGCAACTCAATATACTATAAAACGTCAATGCATACCGAATCGCCCAAGTCACATCCTTGCTACGTAAGATTGATTGCTGTAATAAGTTATATCCCTGTGTTACCATATTAGTTCAAAATACGGAAATGTGTTATTTTTATTCTTAACACTGTCTCTTCGAACTGTATACGTTGCCTCGGAAACAGCGAGACTACATACGAATTACGATTTTGTAACATTGAAATAACGTCTGTTCTTTTTCTTTTTTTTTTTTTTTTCACAGAGGGATAGAACCTTTGGGAGAGACAAAAAGGCCCGGTCTATAGTTCAACCCAGTATCACGAACACATCAGTGCAAATCGATCGGCACTTCATCTCCAAGCTGTGTATGTGGATCATTGCTTTGGAAGTCGCCCTTGGGTGCAAGGCCTTTCGGTACATGGAAAACGCTTTCAAATAATTTCTTCGCTCACTACCGCGTCCCGCCCAACACTGAAAACAGGCAACGAGTTTGGATATTGATTTGATTAAGTTCATCTCTCCGTGCGATACTAAAACCACATGACGCGCAGAAGCAGCCGTAAAATACCATTCTACGAGTAGTGCGAGATTGCCACTCCGGCAATGCCAAGCAGTGCACAACAAAATGCCTCAGCCCATCTGGCTGCTGCCAAAATAAGAAAATGGTTCCTACGCCATAAGAGGGAGAGTGGATTGTACATTCAAAAACGTCCGGATCCTCAATTCTTAGGTCGCAATCTTTGCTCAACATTAAATGTGGTGAAAGTCAGGAAACCATTAGAAGTACGAAGGCTCCTCATGCAAGTTTATAGCTGCTAAGTGTACCTTGGTTGAAGCTATAGAGCAAATAAAAAAGCTACGATTAAAAAAATCGAAGTAGCGACATTCAGCAATCTTTGTCTGGCCAAGATAACCAGTGAGCGTTACGGTGTAAATATGGTTTATTTATAGACAAATAACGGTGATTAGAACAGGATTTAGTTGTTGCTCCCAGCTTCAGAGCTTCAGCTTCATTCTCCTCTTTTTTTTTTTTTTTGTCTTTTTTTTTCAACTTCGTCCTTTTCTGGTTTCTGGTCATTTACTTAAGATGTACTCCTTAACTTTCTGACTAGTGAAACTGAACATACATATGGTTCCAACTAGAAACTTGCTGAGCGTTATCGAAAACCACTAAATCGGTCAATTTAAAAGTCACTTGAAGGACGTGGGAAGCGCGAAGGTACACACCAAAGTTACCACTCGTGCAACAGGCGCAAAGCTAGCGGTGGGATAACGTGGATGATAATCTAATCATTTGCATTTTCGCGCCACTAGCTTCGGGCCCGCTGCACGAGTGGTATCTTTTGGTGCACCCCCGCGCTTCCGCACATGCTCCGAGTCATTAAAAAATTTACCGACTTAGTTGTTTTTGATGACGCTCAACAAGTTTCTAATTTGAAACCTAAGTTTATTTTCACTAATTAAAAAAGTAAATGAAGATATTTCAGTCAATTATTCGACTTCTCTCGAGGATTGGCCCCCTATAGTATCTCCCGCTGGGCGTATAACTGATCTGCACAAACCGTATTGTGTACATTTTACGGATATTTTTTTTTTTTTTTATTAAATCAGTTGGAACTAAAGATAGAACGCCCTGCATATACGGTAGAGACTTCGGGAGAGGAGGAGATGAGAGCGCAGCGAAGCCAGATCGCCGAGCTCTGACTGGAATGATTAGTGGGTAGACGCAAAGCCTTTGTCAACTCACTCTTCGAACGCGTCAGACCACCTCGGACCGCCAAACTCCGGCGTTCGGTGTCCCCAGTCACAGCTGGGCATTCTGGTGTCCCTGCGTGCTCTCACCTCCTGCCGCCCTTCAGTTTATTCTCATGTAAAAATAAGTGTCTCCCCCACCCTACCCCCCCTCCCACCTACAAAAAAAAAAAGAACTAATATCAGGAACTATTCAGAATCCGCGAAAACGTGCGAGACGGTTCACGTAAAAGCGCCGACTGTACATTTTATTTTATCTCTCCCGTACTAGTGCCCATAAATCAAGATGCCGGGGCTGCAGTACGTACACTGACAGGGCGCGGTAATGAAGTGCGCTCGACTCGTCGCCCTCATTAAATTAGAAGCGCCAAGAGAAGACTGCCCTTCCTCAAGCATAACAGCGCGCACATCCCAAAGTAAATCACCCCCGCTCATAGCCTTCGCTCTGTGGCTGCTTTTAAGATTAAAAGACGTCCCATATACTCCGAAAGGGGTCATATAAAATAAGAACTGCTATAACGAGACCGACGCTGAAAAGAGTGCACGAATTTCCTCCAGCCCCGAACTCGGGCAGAAGGACAAGCGTTCAACTTCATGCTCCCGTACGCCGTCTCACAGTAACTTGGCAAACGACGGAGTCTGCGGTCCCAGTGAGCCAATCAGACCGTCGGAGGAAGGCACGTGACTGTCTCGCTAGTCGCGCGCTGTGCTTTCAAAGCCACGGGCGAGAAAGAGAGAGCGAGATAAGAAAGCCACTCTTGTTCGAATTTTTGGGCGAAGGGCCCCTCCTCCCACCCCCTCTCATTTTCGTCCCTTCGATGTCGGCAACCGATCGCTTATCTTACGAAGGGCTGTAGCGTTCTACCTTACGAAGGACTAAAACGGACGCTACGAGCCATCCCAGCCAATCCAGCTCTGTGAACGAATCACGTGACTCCGCGCTCCGCGGGCCGCTTCGCCCCTCGCGAAGGTCACGTGACACACTCACATGGCGTTGGATTGGATCCGATGGCTCGTAGTGTACGCTGCGGAATGAATCCGATTTACCCTGGCGGATTTTGTCACGTGGCAACAAAATAGAGAAACGCTGGACGCGGGTAGGTTTTCGATAACCACCTTTACCCTAGAGTTGAATCGAGTAAGTTTTGGAACACGGCCAGAAACTATCAACGAGCCACACGAGCTCCTTCCGACCGTGATTGCGGGTGGCAGAAGCCGAAAATATTTTAAAGATAAATAATTAGGCCCGTGTGGAGCAGCAGAGTCTAAAACAAAAGAGACGGCGATGTTATGAAGTTTCTACGAACGTTTTAATATTCTTTTAATATTCCTGAAAGGTTTGAAGACTCGTTTCGTGCACATATGTGAAAGGTTACCTTGGCCGATCTATTTATTGACCATGCATGCTGTTCCGATTTCAATTAAAGACAACATTCTTGAACCCGCTCTTCGATGCAGGAAACCCCCAAATTTGTCAGAGATTCCCTAGTTCCGTCGGTTCCGTCTCGCAGCGAGACGGAAGCCACGCCGATACCGGCACACCGTCGTTCGATAGCACGTCAATTCGTTTTTAGGCGGTATGCATGAACAAATTTTTCCCGCAACGCTAACTGGTGTTTCGGCTTTCCAACCTAAGTATCTTTATTCTCTGTGGCTGGGCTAAGCATTCTAAGCAGGGCAGCGGTCTGACCGTCTTTTCACCACATCTGTTCTGTCGTCGAGCTATCGGCACCTCGCTTGATAGATCAATTCGTTTTCAGGCAAGACGCACGAACAAACCTTTTCCTCAACGCTCACTGATGTTTCGGCTTTCAAATCGAAGTATCTTTATTCGCTGTGCTAAGCATTATAAAAGGGACAGAGCGGTGCGAATGTCTCCTCATCTCAACAAATTTTCTGTCGCTGTGCTATCGGCACGCTACCGTCTGACAGATGAATTTCTTTTTCAGGCAAGATGCACGAACAAACTTTCCTCGGAACGCTAACTGCTGTCTTGGCTTTCAAATCGAATCGTTTTTACCTGCTGGATTAAGCACTAATCAACTGAAAAGGGGCAGCGGTCCGGCTACGCCTCTCGTCTCGATGGTCTCAACAACAGCGCAGCCATCTTGTTTGTTAACGTGACGTCACGGAGCGCAAAGACGTCACTCGCGCTCCGAGAAAATCTCGGTCAACGTTATTAGATTAGCTCAGTTACGGAACTGCTCATAGACGCTGCATGCACGAGCAGTACCCCCCCTCACTCACCACGACTCGCCAAGCGTCGCTTGACGCGCTGCCGGACGGCTGCTTTGGTAACTGCAGCGTATTCTGTGGGAATCGGGCAGGGTCGGCACGGTGAAATCGGGTCGGGATCGCTGGGATCGCTACGTACGTTTCGAAGCACGGCGTCTAGATGGCGCTTCATCTCTGCTCTTTGGAACGCACAGTTATGAAACGAAAATCTAGATGGCGCTTTGAACGACACTTGGCGGATTGAGGTGAGTGAAGGGGGGGTACCCCCTTCCGCTTGAGTTCCACAACTGAGGTAATCTAGTAACGTTGATCTCGGTGCAAGAACAGCGTGCTCGAGTGTCAGTCTCCGGTGGCACCCCTGTCCGTTTAGTGAAAGGAGCGCCAAACACTCGCGCTCCGGAGCACGGACTTAACGCGCCCAAAGATAAACAGCTTCTTGCTCGTAAATATCCGGGCTCGCCTCCTGACAGTGCCCCTCGTCC